GGGTGTGTGGGATTTAGTGGCATGTAGCAGTGAAGTTGCAAATTGCAACTAACGAAATGCTGCTTCCCTTCCAAGTGTATAGGAGAATGGTGGCCGCCAAACTCACAAAAATGCAAATGCCCCTATCTAGAGCCTGTGTTTGGTTTGTCCATTCTGGGCTACTGTAGAAACATGGGCGTTCGCTGTATCCTGCCTTTACTGGTAAACACCTACATGTTTCAAACTTCATGCCTCAGTCTGTAACACACTTTCTCTTAAACATTTGAAGTTTCGAGCCCTAGATGCTATCAATATGAAATCTGTGATGCCAGACTTTAGAAAGCTCCCTCAGAGCCACAGAAGACTTAGACTTAGACTTCTCTTTATTGATCCTTTTGGGATGACTCCGCCGCAAAGAAATTGAATTTCAGCAGCTACAAAAAACAGTGTAGAAAAATAAAGAGGGTATAAAAAGAATTAGATATAATATAGAAGCAGAGATAAGAATAAAATAGAAGAAATAAAGAAAATGAATCAAATAAGATAAGTGTAGAGAACTGTATAGAAGGCATTATACAGCATGAGCAGGACTAACCATGATGACTGAAATCACCTTTATGTGTAAAATCTGTGGCTTGTCCCTTCTCTGTGTTCATCTGCAGATATGTTAACATGCTAAAACATACAGTATCTTTAGAGAACTGTTATCCCAGTTAAACTGAGCTACTTAAAGTTTATGTTTAATTAATGTTGTAAAGCAATCAGCTCTGTTTTTTGACAGAGATCCTCAGTTTCTGAGCCTAAAAGTATATGAAGAGCAAACTGAATTTGACATGTTTGCCAAAGCATAATTGTGGGTTTTATGGCCAAAAAGATAGACTTCATTAGACTTTCATGACAGTCTGCACTGGCTCTTCAGCCAAACTGCATTGTTTGCTGCTTCCTGATACACTGCAGCCTTTGGTATAAGCTGTGTATGCTTCTTTTATGCATATTATTGGTAAAGTTCAAGGCCCTGTGTGTAGGATTTAGTGGAGTCTAGTGGTGTAGTTGCAGATTGACCCCGCTTTACCCTCCCCTTTCAAGCATGAAGGAGAAACTACAGTGGCCGCAAAATGGCGAAAAATGCAAACAGCCCTATCTAGAGCCAGTGTTTGAGCTGTATTCAAATGGTTGCAATTTGCACCACTAGATGCCACTAAATCCTACACACTGGTCCTTTAAGTATTTGTACAATTTTCATTCCACCAGCTCACTGAAGAAACAGTTATTAATTGTTGGTTTAGCAGTATGGCTTGTAAGACAAATATAGTTTAATTTGCATAACAGTGTATTGTTGGCCTTCTCACTTTAGCCAGCCCTGTCTCCAAGGAATTATATTTATATAACCAATTTGCAAGAACAAATAGGTATTTATGGAAACCGTATGCCAACCAAGTTTTATATTAACATAATGTTGTTAACTAACATACCTGAATGTTATTCTGAACTATAGACTGTGTAATTAAAAATGGACATACGTTTCTGTAGAGCTGTTGTAAAGCTCAATGTGGTCGGCTCTGATCTTTGCCATCTTGGCAGTCCTGTCACTACCAGCTCCCAGCTAATCCGAGGAGGGCTGAATGAAGCCTGGTTACTGAAAACCGCCACTTGGCACCCACCTATAACTCAAAGTGGCTATGACTGTAATTTTTTGTTACTCCTTGTTGTTTTCATTTGCCCGCCACAGAGGTTGCAGCTTGTACTTGTATCAGCCAAAATCAGTTTGCATTATCTTGCATTACTATTCGATGACTATAAAAGTCAGCAGGGACTTGAGGCACAAGAGTTTTTATTAACATTTAGTTGAAATCAGGATCTTTCCCTAATCATAACCATAGTGATTTTGAGTGTGGATGCGAACCCTGGACTGTAGTGTGATTGTCCTGCACATCCACCATGTCTATGTTGACACCACAACATAGACATGACATCAATTTAATACTATAAAAATGTAATTTCTAGGAGACAGGGTTGCTTCAGCAAGACAATGAACTGCCTTCTGGTTGTAGGCTGAAACTGTAGTTTTTGAAAGTGAATAGCCTGATAATGTAGATTTATTTCAGCATCAATAGTAGTTGTAAAGTTTCCATGCTTGCAGTGCATATTTTAACCACATTTCCAGAAAATCAGTAAATGAATAAATGCAAGTATCCATTCACTACTCTTATGTGAATATGAGTTCATTGGTAGATGGATAAACAGCTGGTGGAGCTGCCATTAAACCATTGCAGAGGAGGACACAACAAGATGACGTCGCTGAAAGCGCTTCAGTTAAAGCTCAAATGAGGGAAAACCTGGTGAGCGGGATTGTTTAAGAAACTAAATTAAACTGAATACTGATGCTGCTGTTTATGCTAAAGCATGAAGTACATTTAACTAGTGTACTATCAGAGGTGTTTACAAGACACTGTTGGTTAGCTGAGTGAATATTATGGCAGGTAAAGAAATGTGTGATAAAATGTCAGTTCTGGTTCTGGACCTCCAACATGGCTGCCAGACCCGCGTCGATTACATCATTACTGTAAACAAAAATCAACAACAAAAGGAGCAGAGTTTTGTTGTTTTCATGTGTGTCTTTGAATCCATCCATGCATAAATAAGTGTGTGTGTGTGTGTTAAAGGGGTTTCCAGAGCAAAAAGGGCAACCCCCTCGTCCTCCTCAGGGGGCTGAGTGGGCGGTCGGTCCTCAGCAGATGGATTGCTGCTCGCCCCTGGTCACTTCATAATCCTGAAACAGACAAAGTGCGTCAATGTATGAAATAATTTGATATTTCTTTAGATTTATTGTTTTTGATTGGATTAAAATAGAGCATTTTAAAAATGTTTTTGGAGAGAGAGAGAGGGGGGGTGGGGTGGGGGGTTTACTGGAATGTCTCTTTTTATGTGTTTGTCTGTATTTTGGGTCCTTTGTGTGTCTCTGTTTGTGTATTTACAAATATCAAATGAAAAAATATTATATTATTTAAATGTTCGTGCCATTTTTTTTTTTTACATTGAAATGAGTTAAACATCTTTGCATCATGCTAATACTGTTAGTGTGTGTGCATTTCTGTAACTGCATCATTTTGTACTTTTTCATGAACATGGTTGTGTGTGTGGGTTTGTTAATGATTGTGTGTTTTGTATGTGTAGCTGTCAGATGATCATGTAGAAATGAATAAATAAAGTCTTACATAAGCTGATTCTTTTTTTTCAAAGTTGTGCAAAAATATGTTTTATTTCACAAGACATTAAATGAATCACATTCATAGTGGTCTGAGATGCACTTACAATCCTTAAAGGGACATTTCACCCGTGGAAACATTAATATTTATTGAAAGTGGGTTATATATGTAGTCGAAATGTAACATAAATTTTGAATTTGGTGCC